AACCGTTTCGGTAGAATCGAGGGGGAAGCAAAATGGTCGTATAAAGAAGGAATCAACTTCAACCTCGTACCCCCCGCCACCCCCATGCCTAAATTTTGAATTGTGACGTATCACTTGTGATGCATCATTGGAAAGCTCTTAAAAAATGCTTTTCAGAAATACCATACACTGGTACATTTAAACTGCCCATTCACAATTTATTACACTAAAATTTGAACTTCGCAAATAAACAACTTTTATTTAATAAAATGTTCACCGTTTTGTTCTAAACAATACCACAAACGGTTTTCAAATTCATTTCTAACATTTTTAAACACTTCCCTGGAAAGTGAACGGCACTCCCTGACTATCCAGTAGCGAAGATCATTTATGGAAGCTGGTTCAGTTTTGTACACAACCGATTTTAAATGACCCCAAAGAAAGAAATCCAATGGTGTCAGATCTGGAGATCGTGCTGGCCATTCTATAGGACCTCTTCGTCCTATCCACTATCCCGGAAATTTCTCATCTAAAAATTCACGATCAGCCATAGAGTAATGAGGAGGAGCCCCATCTTGTTGAAAATGTATAAAATCTTCAATCAAATTCATGTTTCCGTCAATTGGATTTATTTGATTCTCTATTTCATGAGTGATGAGAGGCTCGACGGTATTTTGTAGCATGTTTAGGTAAGTATCTCCAGTTAAATTTCCTGCGATAAACAGAGGACCAATAATGCTATCACCTAAGATACCTGCCCAGACGTTAATTTTTTGGGGCCGTTGAGTATGCCCCTCGCGAAAAAGATGAGGATTTTTATCGTCCCAATACCGGCAGTTATGTTTGTTCACATTTCCATTTAAAAAGAATGTACATTCATCACTAAAACAAATGTTTTTCACCAGTTCCGGATTATTTTGAATATTCTCGGTCATTATTTCACAAAATTGGATTCTTCGATCGGAGTCGTCTTCGGTTAGTTCCTGTACAATCTGCATCTTATAAGGGTAGAATTTGTGCACCTTAAGAGTTCGTCGTACAGTTTCTCGCGAAGGTCCGGTCATAGTCGCTGCTTTTCGAATAGATGATGTTGGGTTTGCACCAAAATGACCTAAAACTTCAATCTGAGTAGCTTCATCCATTATTCTTGGTCCGTCTCTTTTCTTATTTTCCACTGACCCAGTTTCTTCAAATTTAGTCACTAACATTGCAACATAAGTGTGACTGACACGACGTTCTGGGTGTCGGGCATTAAAAACAGCTGCTGTTCTAAATGAAGATCGCGCTTCTGAACCATAGATGAAAATAATTTCAACTCTTTCGGCTAACGTGTACACCATTATGAAATCTTTAGTTAAATCCAAAATTTGTAATTTTCTTGCCAAGAAATACTAAAAACGAGACTAAAATAATAATAACCGATCAACAAATAAAGCAATAGAAAATTATTATTTACTAAAAATTGCTGTCATTGTTTTTCCAAAGCATCACTAGATCTAAGAAATTTTTTTTTATTTCAAACACTGACAAATTCATCAAATACTCAAATTACTCATTTTTATTACATAAATTGTGAATGGGCAGTTTAAATGCACCAGTGTATGGTATTTCTGAAAATCATTTTTTAAGAGCTTTCCAATGATGTATCACAAGTGATACGTCACAATTCAAAATTTAGGCATGGGGGCGGCGGGGGGTACGAGGTTGAAGTTGGGTCCTTCTTTATACGACCATTTTGCTTCCCCCTCGATTCTACCGAAACGGTTTTGGCCATTTTGTGATACCTCTAATATAAAAAACGATATCGCCCATTGAAAGTTTTAAAAGTGTCACCCTGTATTTGCCGTCTCTCAGAACAAAAAGAAAGTCAATGTTGTCTTTAACAACCACTCTATAAACTGTTAAAGCTGTATAATGTATATGCGCGAGAAGTGTAATAAAAATTTCGGTCGCAAGGTATTTTAGTTATTATTGAAGATAGAGACGAGACAAAATATGTATTATGTACCATGAAACACGCTCGGAAACACGGTAGTTTTTTTACTAAAACATTTTTTCAATCAAACAAACCGTTTAAGAAATATAATAGGTTAAAAATTTATAGAAATGTAACGGGAGCGCGTCAGAATAGCAATACTACTGATACCCGCTTTAACACGCACCCTGTCGCATAAATTCGTCTACGATCTACGTCGACACAAAATCTCGATCATATCGGTCTATCTGTCGGTCTGTATGTCTCTCATTTCCTACTAAATGGATGAATCGTTTTGAAACAAATTTGGTACTTACGCATTTTCTTAGACTTAAAATAAAGATCGGTAAAGCTTTTCGGCAGAATTTAATTTAGGCGTTTATTTATTTACAAATAATCTGTTCCACTTTTTAATCGCAGCACTGCTTTAAAGTTTTGAATGAATGCACCAAAATATAGAAGATTTAAATACCTTTGACATTTCCTTCATATATTCCAGCATTATGGATGCATTTAAGACTGTATTCGTAAGTAACTTCCTATTCATCCATGGAAACAACTTTTCATATTCTTTATAATAGGCTTTACTGGAGTTGGATTTTATACCTACCAACGTTTGTTTAGATTTTACAACAATCGATTTAATGGGCGGTGTATTATCTTTTTAGACGGAAATCGTTTAATTCACAAAGACGATGATTTTTATAAGCAAACGTCAAGTGACATTTCCATGGCAATCGTGAAATTACGAACACCCAGCCCACTTAATTAGACACGTATTCGAGTATAACGTCAATATGACTTTTTTTTCACTACTAGCGTCTGATGACATGATTATTAACCTTTTTTCCACTTGTAAAGTAGGTTTTCTCGGCATTTGTTCAAAGTGGTTAATAATTTTTTATTATTAACTAGTAGTCAATAATGAGAACTGTCACGCTGTCACTTTTAGAAAATACAACCCGAAATTTCGCTCAATAAACGTTTAGACAAGTTCTCTAAAACGAATAATTGCCACCATTCGCAATTTCCAGAGAAATTACATACCTAAAATTATCACATTTTGAAAAAAATCGAACGAAATTACTCTTTGAAAAATCTCAATGACAGAACAAAATACGGCCTGTTTGACTTGTACTTCCACGTACTTGATTGACATGTTAAATTAATAAACAACAATTCTGTCCAACCGTTAACTCTCTTATCAATATAATATGTTAATTTAGAGGATTTCAAGTGCTAGTAGTGAAAAAATAGTATATATACCACGGTAGAGAAGTCTATTATTGCCTTCGCACCTTACACCCCTCGGCGCAAGCGCCTCGAGATGTAATCTTGGTGCTCAGGCAATAATAGTGGACTTCTCTACCTTGATATATAATGTACTATTATTGTATTCCCTATTTTTAAATTATACTGCAGGTATAATAAAAAATACTATAAGATACACGTGTATAATTAGTCTTTAAAGCACTTGCAACGTTAAAGGCACTCCGCTTTGCGTCGTGCCCTTAAACTCGTTGCGCGTGCTTTAAAGACTTGATTATACACTTGTATCTTAATATACTATTTTTCTGACTATTTGCAATCCCCGCGACCATCGCGCCCTCTTGATTCAGAACCGGCATCTAATTCTGCACAAGATCCGCATTTTTCAAAATGTACATCTTTGAGTTCATGACATATATCATGTTCGAATTTTGACTCCCAGATTCCCTACTACGAGTATAATGAAGTTTTGCGGTGAACCTTATTACAAAAAATTAAGAGGTTTTTGGTATTTCAAGTGCTAAAGGTGGGTAGAATTTTTGAGTTCGATTATAGCTTTGGATGGTATATCAAGATAAGAAACTTTCTCTAATCAGGTTTCAGCGTGATAATAGTGACTATAGACTCTGGAGCGGATTGGAGTTCGGAGTACAGTTCTGGTTGTTATGAAAAGTCATTCAATTGGTCTAAAGTTGTCTGTAATTGCGTGTTGGTTAAAAGATAAGAGCATTTTTAATATTCCAAATGTCGAAGAAAATATTCAACATTTTTATACAAATTTTGAGTTCCGGTTAGTCTCGTCACAGATATAGGTACGTAACGTATATCTGTGGTCTCGTATAGCCCCGGAAGGAAACAAATAAAGTTAGTTGGAAATGCAATTAAATAATCTTCAATCTTTATTTTTACGATTTCGTGAAGAGGTAAGTGGGGTAGCCTATAAACCTATAAATTATTTTTCTGTATTTTCGGCGATGTTTACGGTATCTCAGGGTACTAACAATTTCGTGCTGACCATAGTTACTTTTTTTTCAGTTGTAATTATCATGTAAATACCAGAAATATTTAAAATGTTTATTCTAAGTATTTTGCGGTTTCGACGTGCCAATCACTTCCGTTAAAAGTTGGGCCGTTACTCGTGGTTAGGTTTTATATGGAACTAATCTTTTTTAGGAAAATTCGTCACAAATCAGGGCAAGATAACACAAAAGCTTGCGAAGTTTATTAGAACATCTAGAAATCGAGATAATTTTAAAATATATAGTTGGTTTCTCTGGTACGCTTTTTATTACACAAATGTATCAGTAACAAATGCACCGGGTGGCGAGAATTGTGTCACCAATGTCCTACTAATCTTACGAACTCACTGAAAGGGAATACAGCAAATCAGTGGTGGGCCAAAGCAGGGGGGGATAGTCGGAGTAGGATTTTTTTAAAAGTTTACCTTCAAATTGTCTTTTTGGTCAGAACTCTTCCGTAAGGTTTATCAAAAACTCTGAATCTTTATGAGGCTTTCCATAAGTTAATTATTATTGCAAAATTTTATAAATGAGGGGATCTTTTATTAGTGTTAATTAACAATATACAATGGAAATAATTAAGTTAATAAAATGTTTCTTCTTCCCTCCTGTAAGTAACTGTAAGGAAATGAGTAAAGCCACGCTTTGATAGGGGAAGCTCATATATTATATGCTGAGGTAGCTTTCCAAAAGAACATTCTGCGTACCAACTCCAAGTAAATTTTTGTAGAAAACATTTAAATTGTACCAACACCTACCTGCGACAGGCTGCACAACGGGGGGTGACTCTGGTTGTGATGGCATTATTGGCTCCGGTTCGACCGGCTTACTCACTACAGCTATTACTGGTGGAACACACACAAAACCACCACACTCATTTTTGCAACATTTGGCATCGCCCCTACAGTGGGCATCTTGAAAGCACGTATACCCGCAATGTTTTAAACTGTTCCTATCAGGACAATCTCCCAATTTTTGTCCGAAAATTGCAATGATGCTTGACGCAAAGAATAACAAAGCTAAAGGATGTTGACCCATTGGTAATGACTTTGGAACTGAATGCAGACGGTCAAGTTGATCCCCTTATATAGCTTCAGCCGTAAAAATTTAGCACACGTGTAACTTGTAAGGTACGCAGATATACGGAAAATCGCATATTTTACAGTTTTATCTATTGCGAAAAGGCAGTCTGAAGGGAAACGAGTTTATCATATTGGAATTTACGAGAAATGAAATATTCACGCGTTGATGTAATTATTTAAATAACATGTTTTTTTTTTGGTATCTTAAGATTAAGTACATAACTTGTGACGAAGACCGAGAATTCATACAAAACACAAGGTTGTGCAGTATAAACAAACTTATGAATAGTTAAATAACTTAAACTACGTCTTACTACTCTCAACATCTTTTAGTTGCTTAGTTTTGTGCAGACGTGCGCTCCGCAGCGATTCTTGCAGCATTTCCGCTTTCCTCTGCAGTCTTTGTCGGAAGAACAAGTGCTGGTACAAACCCAAGGGCCCGAAGGACTGGCGGGGCATTGTTGTTTAGAATTATCTGGAAACAAATAGAAGTAAACCACATACAGTACACAAAAAGTCGATTTTTTGCGAGATTGTTTGAATCACAAGATTTATACCCTATTCTTGAATCCACTAGAGCAATTTAATTACGGAAAAAATCAACCACAACGCTACACGGATCTACCACAAGTCATCTTTCTCACCAAGTATATGGGTCATGACAAGGGCGGATTTGGCTATGTCGCAAGGGATGAGTAAAATGTGTCGCGTCGGTAGGGAGTTGTTTAAATTTAATAATGACTTAGGGGATCATTTAATATCGCATTTGAAAGCAGTCATTTTAAAAAATAATCGTAATGTAACCGGTAAGTTGTTATAATGTATGTAAAAGAGCATAGATACATCCTTATGGCATCGAATACAATTGAAGATGCTGCAAGTAACTTAATTACTGAGTTGGTTCCAATAAAATCCAGAAAAAATTATTGAAATGTGTTCTGCTCCCGTGGAAAAGACATCGAAAATTATATTGAAAACGTGTTCTTGGCATATGATTGTGCAAATTTTATAACCATGCAAAAGTTGTAAGGATACATCCTTATCAATTTTAAAGTTGCCGAAGAACAATTAAAGAGAACACACGTGGGCGTGGTTCTGAAACGAAAACTTTTTGGCCTTATGGGTTATTTGGAAAGAACGTCTTTGGCCTACCCTACAAGAGGTGGTGTAGTGGTTGAGGTGTAGGCCTTGGAAACAAAAATCATGTTTTCCACCTTGGCACAGGAGCGCTCGCTCCGCCATCTTGGATGAAAATTACAACAAATCGGTTTTTTCAAAAAAAAAAAGGTTCAAATAAATGGTAAAGAAGATAAAATTCCTCTTTTTGTAATAAACTTTTATGTACTTCTAATACCTACGTATGTTCCTAGTTACAGCGCAGGGGCGAAAAGATGAACATTATTCCACAAAAAGTTGTAAAACTCACAATTTTTGTGATTTTTCGAATCGAACAATTTTGTCTCCATTTAGTGTTCCACACCACTATGAGGTGCAGAACGTGGCGCGTTTTCATTTTGTGGTAGTCCTAGTCTCGATCGACCTAATCCACAACGTCGTGAAATGACGCTTGAACCAGGTCAGGCGATTATATTATCAGCGTTTTCCTTTCTTTGATAATCCTGGCCAATTTATGTTGACGTCTTGATTGCTATAATCATGAGTGCTTCTGACAATACATTGTTCTTCCACTGCTAAGTCATTGTCATACTCGTCCTCACTGTCGAATCGAACTTCCGGTACATTTTCGTATGAGTGACCACTGCAGAAGTCACACACAACTGAGCACTTCAATCCAGATTTCCTGCAACCACATGCTGCTAGGCATCCATTTGGACAATTACATGAAATGAATTTCAGTAAGTTGTCTGCTGCTGGTTGCTCTCTCATGGCCAGTGGAACTCATCGCCGCGCATCACGCATATTTCAGGAGATGAGTGACCCACGAGTACAACCACATGTGTTATACACCATTTTAAAGAGCCCAACGAGTTCTATCACTTGTGAAAAAAAGAAAAAATCAACTTTTTCTGGTGGTACCGAACTTGGAAAATGTAACAAACCACAAAATTTAGAGCGCGCAGAAAAGCGTGTTTCCTGAAATATTTCATCCAGTTAAACAGAATCTACAAGAGCTATCTCTTCCATTAAAACAGCGTTGAATTCAGAAGTCTCTAGGGCTTCGAATAAACTTCATTTCATGTCGATGCGACAAATACTCTCCTTTTTGATATTAGGCATCGACCACAAAATTTGCTAATGCTGCATCGAAAACTTCGACATGCGAGCAGCTATGTGATTTATTCAATATTTGGACATGTATTCATAAACCGAAAAAAGTTCTTAAAAAAAGTGTTGGTCATATCTGGGTATTTCAGAAGATACGAACTTTTTACTGAATGAGTTCCGTGTGACATCGGCGCCGGCGTCCGCTCATGCACGTTTTTTATCGCTGCCTGTCGCCTACTTTGTAAACTTGAATAGTTATGTATTTATTTATTTATTTATTTATTTATTTATTTATTTATTTATTTATTTATTTATTTATTTATTTATTTATTTATTTATTTATTTATTTAGTTATTTATTTATATATTTATCTATTTATTTATTTATTGTCCCTTAACAGGCCTCCGCCCAATTACATAGTGCGCGCATAATACTTTTTAGAGGAGCTCCCCCAGAAGGTCTTAAGTTGTTATATACTTCTCCGGCAATGACCTTACGCATTAGGAAAACTGCAGGAAAATCTAATTCAGAGTAACCGGCAGAACGCTCGAAACTGATCTAAGGATTTTCCCATCTCTGTCACAGATAAAAAATTCTTACCTCGGCCCAGGTTCGAACACTCGACCTCCCTGCTATGTAGCCCAATGCTCTACCACTAAGTACACAGTATTTTATTATATGCTATACGACTTATTAACCAGCGACCCAGCTCGTTCATGATTTTGGACTTTTTGTCCGTCGAAACATGATAACTCGCGTAGCCTAGTAATTAGCAAAACATTAAATTCGCGAGCCTAGGGCAAACATACTGCAGCAATATAGTGACTGGATAGCAATCTTCATAATGTGACTTCGGTGACAAGAAGCAACGAGTTTTTTTGTTTGTTTCGGCTCAAAAGCCATGGTATGTATTTGTATAAGTACCCACGTTGAGTTTAAAGCATCTCTAATTGCGCAATGTAAGTCGAAAGAGTTTGACAGTTTGACAAATTTTTGAAATTATTACTATTAAAGGACGCTCCGAATATGTATATGTACTCGGCCTTACTGCTAGAGAAGTGGAGAAGTGAAGGCGCTTCTGTGTACTACAGAATGCAGGAATGGGACTTCGAAGATATAAGGTGTCTGTTTTTTCGCACTTTACTTTTCTAAACCTAATCCGGCGATTGCGCAAACGAATTTTAAAACATTCATTCATTGTCGTTATTCTACTACGTGTCTCCATAGTGTAAGAGATAGAGAGAAAGTGAGATTTTTCAGCGTACTAGGCTTTCATTTCTGAATGATAAAGTTTCGTTTAACCACATCTGTGGTTTAACTTACGTTTTGGAGCAGTGTGAGACTTTACAATAAAATTTTTACCTGGCGGTGATGGTGGTGATTGTGGCAGTGGCGGTGGTGGGGGTGGTGCAATCGCTTCTGCGTTTGGTTGCGTGCACACAGTTCCACCGCACTCTGTGTGACAGCATTTCGTATTGCCCGAACACGAATAGTCATTTGCACAAGTCGCTGTGCAAATCGACAGCTTCAAACGTGGCGGACAACTTCCGGGTTTTTGACCTAGGCATATAAAAAATGTTAGGGCAAAATCTGTTTCCGCTGTTAGATTTATTACTTGCTGGTGGCGCAGTATCCAAAATTGGATCTACGCACACAAGTCCATAGCAGTTGGTTCTGCAGCACTTTGCATCTCCAGCGCATTGATGGTCTCCGTCACATGCCTCTGTACACACAGGTATATTTAATCGTCCTGGGCACCTTCCGGGTTTTTGCTGTGCTGCAACTGAAACCCAAAAATTTGCAACGAGTGATCATTTTATAACAAGCACCTACTTGCTAACTGAGTTACTGTTTCCATTTTTGGTTGTACACAAACGGCGCCACCACAATCAGTTTTGCAACACTTTCCGTCACTGGCACATTGGTCATCAATGACACAAATTTCCTGGCATACCGGTATATTTAATCGTTTTGGACAAAAGCCAGGTTTTGCACCTAATAAATCCAAATTACTCAAAATGAATCATAATAAGTGTGGATTACCAGATGGAGGTGGGAGATTAAATATGGGATCTATGCAAACGTATCCGTTGCAATCTGTTTTGCAACACTTAGCCTCTCCACTGCATTGGTGATCTTCTTGGCACGTCGCTCTACATTCTGGAATACTCAAACGCGGAGGACAATAACCGAGTTTATTTCGTGTGATAACTGTAAGAAATGAAATGATTATACAATATCAAGTAAGTCTGTTTTACCGGGATGAGGTCGGTAAGCCTCCACGCAAACGGATCCATTGCAGTCCGTTCTGCAACATTTTGCCGTCCCACTACACTTTGAATCGTTGAAACATGTTTTTTCACACACAGGTATCGGTAACGGTTTTGGACAATCGCCTGGTTTTCTCTGAGCTTTACTGACAGTGGTAAGTAAAAGTAAGTAGAGGTAGCACAAGAATTTTTGACCCATTTCTCCTTGAGCGGTGTGGCAAGTGTGCAGGACCAGGAAATGAAGTGTGTTTTAAAAGATTTATAAGAAATGTAAGTATTTGACAGGAAACCACAGTGAACTTTATAATTAAGCGGTTGCAGCTATCGGTTAACTCCAAGCATTTTGTTAGACATCCCACGCAACATCAATTTTAGTTACTCCCACCTTTGCATGTTTTAAAAGTGATGACAAAACTTTTGCCGAAAATCTTTTCAACTGTATCCATACTTATTAATCAAACTATAGTTAAGGAGTTAACCTAGACGGTGGATTCATACTTAATAACTGCTAGAGAATCCTCAAAGTATTGAAAGAAAGGGAGCTGGGTTGAATAAGAAATATGGGATGCTTCAATAAATAAGCAAAAGCACGTATATGTACGGATGTTAGCTACTATTTTAGGATATTTACACATAATCCCTTAGGTAGCTCCCCTGGGTGCACACATACTTTTCACTTTGTTGGAAAACCTTAAGGTTCGTTTTCCGAATAAATTCAAGTTAGGTATATGTTTGAAAACTATTCCTTTCAGATGCCTACTGTGATTGAGACTCAATGTGTACAAATCAACCCTTGAATAGTTTCAACAAAATTTCTACACACTAATAAGAAACACTATAGAAACTATAACAGATAAGGTAGGTAGTTTAAATTTGGCAAAGTTGTGTATTTTGATGCTTAACAAAATGCCGTTTTGAAAGTACAAAAATTCCCACTACTTTAGGAGATATCCTGAAAAATGGAAATTGTCCAAAATCGTTTATATTTTTTACCCAAGTTATAAAAGATATTTCAAAATAAATGACACATTATTCTAGTTTCCAGTTTTAAGCCTGACGTTTCGTCTCCGTTTAACCATCATCAGATTTGTTTTTTCTTATGGAAGCCATTTTTTTTCTGATTTCAGCATTAGTTTTTAAATATTGTTAAAATATCTTCTTTTTTGCCTGGCAGACTTTGTCTTGGGTAGTGTATGTTGGTAGTTTTTTGTGTTTTTACGAATTAATTCTTATTAAAAATAGTGATATTTACATTTTTGAAATCACAATACAGTTTCTGAGATCCCCATGGTGGCCCTCGAATTTGAATCAGCCTGTATATTCTACATAATTATTAATCATAAAGTTGTTTTATGGTAAATATATGATCTTACGTACTTAGGCCTTTCCTGAAACAGCTCAGTGCTTCAAATTCTTGTTTTCCTGCAACATGCGCTCCCAGATTTTATTATATACTTTTGTATGCTTATTTTCCAGTAACCAGGAATTTTATTGCCGTTCCAGACTTTATTAAACACTTATGATTAGGGGAGACCGGGGTATAATGATCCCCCTAAGCTTAAAATTTCAATAGGTCGGCATCTAAGTGAATAACAAATGTTGTTCCCCATAAGAGTTATTGACAATACTTAGGGCGATTATAATAAGCATCATTTTTAGTTCACCCGAAAATCATTTTTGGAATTTACTAATTTTTTTGAAAGTCTATAAAAGGATCATATTACCCAATAGTGTGAGGTCAAATGATCCCGTTCATGGGTAAAAATGATCCCCCCTCTATATATATATATTTATTTATTTTTTAAACAAAGTAACACAACTACATTAAGTAAAACAAAAAAAACATGAAATTCTGTAAAGTATTTAAAAGGAAAAACGTAAACGTAATTAAAATAACTGCCTTTTGTACTTGACACTTGTACATGATTGGCATAAATCACACGTGAAATGGTCTTCGTCCTCTTCCACCCCTGCACATGCATCGTGGGCCCATCTTAAACATTTGCTGCACTTAATCCATCCTTCTCCATCCTTGGCATTGGTGTAGGTTTCACAACAAAAAATGCATTCAGCATCGGATGCATCACTGTCGCTACTTATTTCATTGACCTTTTCTTTCTTCTTTGTCCGTTGTTTGGGATTAACATTTTCTTTGTTAGCCAGCTTTGGTTTTTTATTTTGTTTTTTCTTTTCTTCTGCCTCATCTTTCTTCAGTTTTTCTTCCTCAAGCATATTTTTATAGGGCGTGCTTGTAAGCAACACCGTACCTACTGATTTTCTTTGGCGAACTTGTCGCTTTCCTTTTATTTTAGGGAGTGGATGACAGACCGTTGGTGCCATAATGAATGAACTTTCTCTGACCTCATCTGGAATAGGGGAATCTAATTGGTTACTTGGACCTGGAAGAGGCGATTTTTCCAACGAGTCACCGTGGTTTACTGTTTCTCTGGCAGGAGAGTTATGTGGCACCTCATTTAGAACAGAACTAGGAGAACTTCTTTCAGCAACTTCATCGTAGCGTTGATCAGTAACATCTGCAGCAACGAAATCCGCATCTATAAAAACATCGGGGTCGTAGGGCACTATTCCTGTCTTCTTGAAAGCATTAATTGCATTACTGGGCATTGCAGCTTTCAGATATGCTTCTGAAAAAATTTTTCCTATTTGGAACACTGTTACTGTTCGACCTGGGTTGTTGTTCATCCACTTCTCTAAAGACTGATCCATATATCGACTTAACGGGTACATTACCCCAACATCCAACGGTTGGAGTTTGTGCGTTGTATGTGGTGGTAGGCATAAAATACAAACACTATTTTCCCTTGCCTTTGTTACCACATTTAAGTTTTTGGTGTGGGACAAATGCCCGTCTAAGATCAAAAGCACAGGCTCCTCTTTTGAAGGTTTGGTGAAATTTAAAAAGTGATCAAACCACCGTTCAAACATGTCAAGCTTCATCCAGCCACTCTCGTTGCATCCAAATATACTGCCTGGCGGAGTGCCGTCCATTAACTCTAATTTCATACGTTTTCTACTAAAAATAAACATGGGAGGCACGAAAACTCCCCCTGCCGAAGTACAAATTACTGCAGTTGCCGATACTCCTCTCTCAGCAGACGTAACACGAGCTACTTGTTTTCGACCCCTTTTTGCGAAAATTTTTGAATTTTTTCCGGGGACAGTTGATACCGATGTCTCATCGACGTTATAAATCTTGTGAGGAGGGAAATTGTGTTTTTCAATAATATTCTTCAACAATTCGAAAAATTTCGTTACAACTTGCTTATTGAAACCTCTTGCCCGAGCTGCAGAGGTTGCTTCTGGATTTCTCAAGGCAATCTCAGGATGTCTTTTTGTAAATCCAGCTAGCCAATCGTATCCTGCTATCTGCTTTTCGCGCGAAAAGTGGTGAGGGATATGATTTTTTTCTGCAAGTTGAAATGCCAAACGCCGCAAATCTGTTGTAGTCAGACCATACATCCTGCTTTCTAAATCAAGAATGTGACGTATCAGCTCGTTTTCTTGATCATTTGTAAACGTTGTAGTCTTGCCGCCAAGGTGTTTAATAGAATCCTTCGCAATCACATTCTTGTTCTTAGCTCTACGCTTCAGAGACATCAAAGGGACCCCAAATATTCGTGCTGCGGTTTTAAAGGGCATCCCATTATGTAATACTTCTTGTAATGCAGTGTCCATGTGTTCTGCATTCCAATTTTGGCGATTACTTTTGCGGTGATAAGTGCGAGGCATTCTGAAATAAAATGACCTAGGTAAGTATAGTTGTTTCCCCAAAAATAATTTAACTACATGGGGCGAGATGATCCCGGGATCATTTTGCCCATTTCTTGGTGATCGTTTTACCCCACAAGCCAATTTAGTAAAGACCATCACCTAGAAATTTTACGAAATCAAATTTTCGCTACGCTAACATACTAATTACAAACTTAATCCCAGGGTTGAGCAAATAACCAGACGCACGTTTTAAAAAATGCTTCCCCTACGTTATGTACACATTTTAAAGTTGCACTTACCTTACATCAACAACTGCTAAAACAAAAATGGCTGCTTCCCTTCGTTGTACGTTATTCGAACTAACAAATTACATTTGTCCGGCAATGCGCCTGTAAATCAGTTTGTAATTATGTGTCAAGTTGGTAGATGGTGTTAGTGGAAACCTTTAAAATGGGAGGAACCATTTTACCCCGAGGGATCATTATACCCCGGTCTCCCCTACTTGTTTTGCTATTTTTCCTAAGTTCTTCAGCACCTTCGCTATACTACCCCGTCATCTTCTTTCTTTTTTTTCTGATTTAGTATTGCCCTTTCTACCTCTTTTATTTTTTGTTGTCTTCTGGGTATTCGTAATGGCTAACTTTTTCTATAACAGATTCTTATTATTTAAATTGGGCTAGCTTCGTTTTGGCAAGTTCATGAGAAGAATACTTTAAGCGTGACGCGAGATGAATTTACTCCCGTGCAAAACGTACAATCAAACCGAGAGATAAGAAGTAGTCACTTCAAAATGTGGTATCTAATTGCGCTTTTATTGAAAGATTCCAGGGTCTCTACAACTCTCAAATTAGATTTGCTCGAACGCACTGTACTATGCTATACTGTACTATATGTTCCAGTTCCAGTTGGAAACTCGTTTCAAATCCGCCACGTTTTAGTCAACCCGTATGTGGTCACCAAACCCTTGCATGCTCGATCAGTTGCCCTGTATGCGGAGGGCCTTAGTAAAACAATAAGCTCAAAATGCGTTAAAAAGTTCGCAGGGAGCCATGGTCTAAATTGACAGAAGAGCTCATCGTTCAGTATCATAGTTTAAAGACTGAAAAAATTATCGAGAATTTAAATAGGACCGATTTCAAGGTACTTGAATCTTTCTGAAACAAGGCCAGTGTCTGTCCATATGGGAAGGAATCATGGATGCATATAATGATCCTTACTTCATAAACACTTTAGACTTTTGCGTATTTTAGATGTATATTGAATAAACCAGTAATAGCATATTATGTGTACATATATATTCAATTGCGACAAGTTCACAAACTTTATAAAGTTATTGAGATCATTGATTACCTACAAGTTATTAATGTCGCATTGTTCTTTCATAATTACAATTATAATAAATGGTCAGGAAACGTAGGTTTTGCAATTGTACTTATTATGCAATCGCTATCGGTAATTTACCGTGTTATTAATTATCTATATTAAAAATTTTAAAAAAATCTACTTACCAACGAAAAAGTTTAACGTACCGTGACATATATGCTAAACTCAAAGACCTTACA